AGTGATTAAAAACTTCATTAAACCCTTAGAATTATGAATAAATATAAAAATAATATACTATATATACACACTTCCAGTTTTAAATCACTGTTTAAAAATACAAAGAAAACACTAGTTTAAATATTTAAATCCAAAGTAAAATAACTATAACACGAAGTAAAAATAATGAATACTATTCTAAATATAATTGAATTTCTAATCCATACTTGACCTTTATACATGATCTGTTTGCAAGTTTCACATTAGTAATTATAAATACCAAATTTTTGAAGTTATATTTATTGTCAAATTTGATAATTTCTATTGTTTTCACTTTATAGTGAGATAAGCTTTTGTTAATAATACACATTTCTTGTTAACATAAATGATGTGGCAGAATGAAACTCACATGATGTGGAAGAATGAATTGAAAAGTGGTAGAATGAAACTGACATGATGTGGAAGAATGAAATTGAAAAGTGGTAAAATGAAACTGACATGATGTGAAAGAATGAAATTGAAAAGTGGTAGAATGAAACTGACATGATGTGGAAGAATGAAATTGAAAAGTGGTAGAATGAAACTGACATGATGTGGTAGAATGAAATTGACAAGATGTGGTGAAATGAAATTGAAATATGGTGGAATGAAATTGAAATGTGGTAGAATGAAATTGACATGATGTGGTGGAATGAAATTGACATGATGTGGTGGAATGAAATTGAAATGTGGTAGAATAAAATTGACATGATGAAGTGGAATGAAATTGACATGATGTGGTGGAATGAAATTGAAATGTGGTAGAATGAAATTGATATAATATGGTAGAATGAAATTTACATGATATGGTAGAAGGAAATTGACATGATATAGTAGAATGAAATTGAAATGTGGCAGAATGAAAGTTTTGCAATTATTTTATATCCCTTTTAATTTTAATTTATAGAATATAAAAAAAAAAAGAAAAAAAAAAAAAAGATAAAAACACGAGCCTAGTAAAAAAACCAGTAAGCTTTACAAAATGAAGCTATTCTACAGAAATAATTGCTTTAAAATTAAGATTGCCTAGGCAACAGTAGTTTACACAATTGAAAGGTAACAAGAAAATTGATCAAAGGATTTTTTAACTGAAAAACTAAAAGTTGCATGAAAGAGAAAGTTTATACAGCTACAAAGTAACAACTTGTATTACACCAGATATTTATGAGGAATTAAATTCTACTTGCTGAAAACTAAGTAACAACTTGTATTACACCAGATATTTATGAGGAATTAAATTCTACTTGCTGAAAACTAAGTAACAACTTGTATTATACCAGATATTTATGAGGAATTAAATTCTACTTGCTGAAAACTAATTAAGGCGTCATCTTCACAAAAAAATTAACAAATGATTAACCAATGTGTTGTACCAACAGTCAAACATGGATTGTTTGGTTCTGTAATTCTGCAACAGTTTTTTTTTTTTGCTAGTCACGAAGTAGGAAATTTAAATATGAAATACTTAATAAGACTCTTTTTCACAGCATTTTTTTGGAATTTGCTTATCCATCTGGACAAAGAATTTATCAAAGATTTATTAAAGGTTTTACTTTTTTATAGTTTTATTTATTAGCACAAATTGTGAAAAAATTATTATTTGACAAATGAATTTTCATGGGTTGAACTAGACAGAAATATCAAGAATAACTCTTTGAATACTTGCAACAGCCAATCAAGAACAACTCTTAAAATACTTGCAACAGTCAATTAAGAACAACTCTTTAAATACTTGCAACAGCCAATCAAGAACAACTCTTTAAATACTTGCAACAGTCAATTAAGAACAACTCTTTAAATACTTGCAACAGTCAATTAAGAACAACTCTTTAAATACTTGCAACAGCCAATCAAGAACAACTCTTTAAATACTTGCAACAGTCAATTAAGAACAACTCTTTGAATACTTGCAACAGCCAATCAAGAACAACTATTTGAATACTTTCAACAGTGTTGGAGTAAAATATCATCACTTACTAAAGAAAATGATGCAAAGAATGTCAAAGATTTGTGAAGATATTAAATTAAGCATCCTTTGTGTTTTTGTGAAAGTGTGTTTTGTGTCATTGTCTTGTTGAAACAAAAATAAATAATATTATTATTAAAATGAGGATCCATCTTTTCGTCAAAAATATAACAATAAACAAATTGATACATAATGCTATTTATTCAATGGATAGTTCAAACTCCACTAAAACCAGAAAAACAACCCAAAACCATACCAAAGTTATAAAAAAAACTCAATAAAGATCAGTTATTCTTGTAGGCCAAACATCAAAACCATATTTGGTTTGCACAGTAGAAATATTTTATACAATGATAAGAATAGAGTTTGAGAAAAAATTGCAATTGTGTTAATAATCTGCCTGCCGATTGAGCAACAAATCTCTATCTAATAACATTGTATAGCAAGCAACAGTATGTTCTAATAAACCTGAATCCAAAGACAAAGTATATACTGGCTCAAGTGCAACCTGTTTTA